GTCCGCGTGGACAGCTGCTATACAATAATACATTTCCATTTACCTCCTTCTCTATATCCATACAAAATATCTATCAAACAAATAAAATTAAAATTTTCTTTTGAAAAATGAAACCATTCCATCAGTATCTTCTTATAACGTTGTCACGTTCAACTATCGTCAGTAAACCGACTTTACAGACAACCGATTTTTTGAACTTAAGGAATAATGTAGGTTTTATTATATTTTGATTCTTTATAGTGTTTGATTGGAACTAGAAGAATTTTTTCTTTGCTGCATTGTTTATAATCCATTTTTCCTAACTAAAATTTTTTCCTAACTAAAGTTCTCTATATCTACCTAGTTTCTACAGCATAGTTGCTGGTAGACTTTACGAAATATCCTTGTGTGACAAGTTATGATATATCGTATATGATACTGTACGTGCATGGTATTATTTATAGTAAATACATTTCCCTTGCGACGTATTTAACACCTGAATTCGAAAAGGAGGTATAGATATTTCTTCGAAAGTAGGTCACAATCATCAAAATGTCACAGAAAATTTATTCATTCAGTCGCTCTCCTGTCACCAGCGAACCCTAATTTTATCCCGCAACGCGAACTGTTACAGCGACAGCTTAAGCCGTCTAAATATAATGACTAAATCACGTAGATATAAATGCAAACACTGCTGAATAACAAAGATTATGGATCGACAGATGAGTATCGTAGTATAGGTTTAATAATATGAGTGAGCTGGCGGTTTAAACTTCATTTTTTAAAAAAATTTCCCCATCGAAATTTTATTCGGGACAAATAAGAGGAAAATTGTAAAAATAAGTGTACATATTTTTGGAAAATAAAATTTCACCGCTTCTTTATCAAAAAATTCACAAACGTTCGTAAAAACAGTTTTTTCTTGGTAACATTGCGAAAACAAAATTCGGAAAAACAAAAAATAGCAATAGTAATAAAACAATGAGAAGTTGTAAATCAAAATTGATTTATTTTTTTCCAAAAAAAGTAAAAACCGCAAAAAATGACAATCTTTTAACAAAATTGGCTTGAATTGAATGTTATTGGTTTGATAATGTATAACTGAATTGAATAATGGTTTGAATTGTTGTTGATTGCACTATTGGTTAGATTTGAATTGATTTGGACTGAATACCAAAAATTTGCCTTCCCGTGGTTTAAACAAGATCGGCCCAAAATAGGCAACGCCTAGCGTGCAAGATTGCTGTCGCTACGCACCCCTCAGGTATCCTTTGTACATTCCGAAGTGATGACGTAGTTACAAACATGGGTTTTCCATTTTCTAATGATATTTTGAATCTTAACTGGTCCGATTTCATACTTAAAATTACTATGTTACCTATACTAAGAAAAGAATATTTAACTATACCTACACAAATAAATACATTAAAATCAAATACAAACTGTTGACTACATAGAAGCAAGAACAAAATGGAATATCTACAAAAAATACTACTTTTCATTATACATATATCATTATATAGAAACAAACACAAACGAAATCGAATATATCTATCTATATTACAAATAATAATTGAAGACGCAGTAGCTCCAGCCCTCGCCGAAACCTGGTTCTGGGCTATGGTAAAAAAATTTATGCAGAAATAAATTAAACTTCTTATGAGAACGGTAGGGCGAGGTAGCAGTTTATGCCTCTTATTTTTTTTACCATAGCTAAAGACCAATAATAGCTACGATTTAAATCCAGAACCATCAAGTGTTGGCGACAGTGCAAAAATTTCGACAGAGAAATTTTTAAAAATTAACTAGCTCCCCTACGCTATGATTGTACAAAATTTTACCCGTGTTCTTTTTTGTGACCCTGACAATGTGTGTACAAAATTTCATGTTCATCGATTAAATAGTTACGGCGTGAAATGGTAATAAGCATAGAAACAAGTAAACTAACATTCATTATCATCATAAGGTCGTCAGTCCCAAGACTGGTTGGACACGCACCTCCACTCTTTCCTATCCTGAGCTAGTCTTCGCAATTCTCTAAAACTAGAAAAACCCACAATCCTTAACTATTTGCGAACAGAAGAACAGAAATCTAATCCAGGTCTACCTCTACCCCTCCTAACTTCCGTTTCTGCCTCCAATATGTCTCTGACTAGCCCTTCATGCTGAAGAAGGTGTCCTACTAACCTATCTCGTCTACTCCTTATTGACTTCAATAGAGTCCTCTGTTCTCCTATTTTTTCTAATACCTCTTCATTTCTAACCTTTTCTACCCACGTTATCCTCATCATTCGCCTATAACACCACGTTTCGAACGCTTCTAACCTTTTCTTTTCCGCCGCGCCCACTGTTCATGTTTCGTACCCATACAGAGCCGTTCTCCAAACATACACCTTTAATAACCTTTTTCGAATTTCTAAATTAACCGTTCGCGAGCATAGAAGTGACTTCTTTTTACACATTAGCATATATAAAATGTTAGTTAAGATTGCATACGTCTACAAATTCTATATTTTGATCAGCTTAACTCATATAAACGTTGGTAGACTTATCGTTGAGATAATTCCACGATCGAATTGCCTCAGCCGGTATGAGGAAAACGAAAGTGAAATCTAATGAGGTGTAAATGAAGGTGGGATGTTTAACCTGAAATGGAAGTTCACCTTAAAAAGCCGTAAAAAGGCAATTTAAATTCTGACAAACTCACACTTTTCACTGCTTCCTAACACGAATTTCCTCGGCTTAAAGAAAAATTTGGAGAAGATATTATATCGAATGTCCTGCAATTTACAACTTCACTCTTTATATAACAAAAGGTGTTATTATATGAATGAGCTTCACAGTCAACGGGAAAATTTTTTTAATTTTTAGTGTCCACAATATCAAATTAAATCTCATTGATAATAAAATAGGAAAAAACTTTTCCTCTCATATATTTTTGTATAAATATAGGTTCAGTGAAGATGCGTGGGTTGGAACAGTCATTTAAAATTCAAGGGTTTGTTTTTTGAAAAAACACTCGGACACATCGATTTTTATTTTTGGCTCCGGTTTTTTACGGTAAATTTATGTATACAGGATGGCCCAAAAATACCCGACTACCACCGACTTTATTTTTCAAATTGAAATTTTGTTCCATTTTTGAATATTGCATCGAATTTTAACTGTTTCATTTAACATGTCTTATGCCTAAAGTCAGCAGTTATCGAATTTACGAATGATTTCTTTCAAATTTGAGAAGACACGTAGGTCAATAATAAAACAACAAATTATTTAATTAAATGTTCAAACTGCTGACCATTAACTTCTAGAAAATACACAGACAAGTCGATCTTGAAAGTCTCGTAACGCTTTAGTTAAGGTTTGTGGCTGGATTTGTTGTATTTCTACCCTAATTCTGTTTAAAATTTAAAATTTTTAAAAATAAGAATTGTCATTTCAGTAATTCTTATTAATTATGTTTATTTGAAAATTAAGAACAGTAAATATTATTATTGTTTTTTTTCCTCTGTGAGAATTTAAAAAACAACAGAGGCAATTATTTAAAATTATATTTAGTATGATGGTATTTAGATCCTAAATAGATTGGTTTTTAAGCAGTCTTCAGTAACTTAATTTATCTTCTGCGTTCCAGGCACTGATATGACTGAAAAGTTAAATATAAACTTAAACAGTTTCAAAGAATGAGAAAATTACAAAGTAGCAGTTATCCCTACCTAAACCCACTGTTCTGGGTAACGGTTTTTGCCAACAATAACAATATTTACATAGATAACTTTCACAAATGCCTTAAATATTCATTCAAGCACTGAGAAAAATGAAATGGTTGGATTTACTATGCTGTTAATTTTCAATTAACATTTCATAGTTGAGTTCTTATCTCATATGTTGTACGGATATATATTTATTTTTTGGTGATTAGTTAATGAGAATGCATTTCTATATTTTATGAAGGTGCTCAAACTATTTTTAATTTAATATACCCTACAACAACAACGTAGAGAAGTAAATATTAGGAAGGGAGTCAGACAGGGATGCACACTGTCACCGCTACTTTTTAATCGACGCGATTAACATCATTAAAGACAGTATAACTGTAGGGATAGATATACAGGGGTAAAAGATTGGTATGCTTAGATTTGCAGATGATAAAGCAGAGCAATATTATCATCTACCAAGGAGGAGTTAGAGATAGCTTTAAATAAAATGAAAGCGGTATTGACAAAACA